GGACGGGAAGGTCCGTGCGAAAGCGCCTCTCTAGCTAGAGACGGGTAGTGCGGATCCAAGGGATCAAAGCAGCAGGGACCTCTCCCTTGGTGCGCAAGGGGAAGACCGTGGTGTAACGTGTGTAGTCGTCAACAACCAGCAGGAAGTAGCGCTCTCCTCCCTGTCCATGGACGCGGGCTGGGCCCCATACGTCCATGTGCAGGGTTTGCAGAGGAGCCTCCATCGGGGGAAACTCAGAGGAGTGAGTGGTGGCACGCTGCCGCCCCTCGACACAGGGATGGCAGGTAGGGGCAGGGGACGGTGGCAGGGGAGGCAGTGACCTAGGGAGACCAGAGACAAGGTAACGGGAGTGCATGCCACGAAGGCGCTGCATCGAAGGGTGCCCAAGGTGGTGGTGCCAGAGGACCGTCCGGTGCAACAGGGTGCGACACGAGTAGGGGGCGGACAACTGACCTGACGTAGACGCAGACGCCGCTACCTGAGGGGACTCAGTGGTCATTGTGTACAAGTCCGACCCCGGCTGCCGAGTGAAGGTAGCCAGGTATTGACCCGTGTGGGCACACGTGCAGTGTGTCACACGCTCGTAGGCAGGGGTGAACTTGTGAACACCCGCATCCTGGAGCGCGGAACCCGCCACCAAGTTTGTAGAGAACGAGGGGAGGTAAAGGCCCAACAGGGTGTGAAGATTGAGAATTCAACAAGTGATTAGATTAGAGGAACAACCTAGCATACATGGTTGAAAGGAAAGGTTGGAAGGGAAGGATGGAAGGGAAGGATCAAAGTGACCATAGGTTGGGTTGACCTCACTTGGGGGGATGAGGGAACCTTAGGTCAAGTGGGTTGGGTTGCCCATACTTTGTAGAAGTGAGGCAACCCTAGGCCCACTTGGCTTGGGGGAACCTCAATTGTGGGAAGTGAGGTACCCACAAGTCAAGAGGGTTGCATTTGGGGGCTCCACCACAATTGGGTGGATTGGCACCCCAAGGTGCAAGACTACACCCAAAGTTGGGTGTAGTCCCAACCCAACTGTACACCACAATTGGTGTACAATCACATGTGTTGGCATGCTACACAATATATATTTTAACACAACCCCTTAGCATGCTAACACAAGAAGAGAACAACCCCTGAGTCAAGGGGCGCCCGGGCGAGCAAGGCCAACGAGGCGGAGGAAAGCAGAGTGCGCAGGGCGAAGGAGGGCCTTAGTGAAGATGTCGGCCAAGTTGGCCTCGGTTGCAATCTTGCGAACGGCAATGAGGCCCTTCTGGACGAGTTCGCGAACGAAGAAGTAGCGGATTTCGATATGCTTGGAGCGGGCGTGATAGACGGGGTCCTGAGTGAGATGGATGGTGATGGCGTTGTTGCACCAGAGAGTGGGGCACGTCTGGGGGGCACCAAGCTCTTCAAGAAGGAAGCAGAGCCAGCGCGACTCCTGGGCGGCCATGGTGCCAGCGTAGAGCTCTGCCTCGTAGGTGGAGAGAGAGATAGCGGAGGAGCGGGTGGAGCGCCAGCTGATGAGGCCGCTGCCAAGGGTGAAGCCATAGCCCTGGGAGGAGCGGCGGTACGGCTGCGTGTCGGCCCAGGAGGAGTCACTGAAGCCCAAGAGAAGGGGACGGGAAGGGCCGCCGAGGGTGAGGGCAAGGTCCCTGGTCCCGCGAAGGTAGCGGAGGACCCGCTTGGCAGCTCTCCAGTGCTCCTCAGAGTGACGACCGGTGCCGACAAAGCGAGCGAGCACGCTGATGGGGTAGGCAAGGTCGGGGCGGGTGCACATCATTGCGTACATCAAGGACCCAACGAGCTCGGCGTAGGGGTGGGGGGAGGAGGTGGGGGAGGTGGGTGGAGCGAGTTGGTGACCAAAGGGGAGCGGGCTGGAAACAGGCTTGGCCTGCGTCATGTCGAACTTCTCCAAGACCTGGTCGATGTAATGGGACTGGGAGAGGGTGATTGTGCGAGCAGGGCGGTTGCGCGTGATGGTCATGCCGAGGTAGTGAGTGAGGGCGCCAAGGTCCTTGCACTTGAGCCGCTGCTGCAGGGACAGCTTCACCTGCTCCATGTCGGCCTTGGTGTCAGAGAGCAGGATCATGTCGTCGACATAGACCAGAATGAAGAAGCGGCGGGGGGAGGAGCGGATGAAGAGGGTGGCGTCGGAGTGGGAAGCAGAGAAGCCAAGAGACCCCAAGGTGGCAGCCAGCTTTGCATGCCACTCACGCGGCGCCTGCTTCAAGCCGTAGACGGGGCGACGCAGCTGCCAGACAGTGTTCTCAGGAAAGGCTGCGTGGAACCCGGGGGGCCGCCGGAGGAAAATGCGCTCATGCAGTTCGCCCTGCAGGAACGCATTGGAGACGTCCATGGAGTCGATTTCCATGTCGTCACGGGCACCAATGTCCATGGCGGCGCGAAGGGTGGGTGGTTTGGCGGTGGGGGCGTAGGTGAACCAGTAGTCCTCAGCCCAAGTCTGCGTGAACCCCTTGGCGCAGTAGCGGGTCTTGTACACTGGTTCCTCGCCCGGCAGCTGCTTCACCCGAAAGACCCATTTGCCGTCAACGAGATTAGCGCCAGCAGGGAGAGGGACATCGACAAAGGAGTCGTTGCGAATGAAAGCCTCACACTCAAGGAAGATCGCTGCTATCCATTTGTCCGCATCAGGGCAGGTGATGGCTTCCTGGAAGGTGGAGGGAGTGAAGATGGCGGGGGTAGTGGTGGCGCCAAGGACGGGAACGCCCAGGAAGTCAAGGTAGAGGGCGGCAAGGAATGGAGTGTGCTCCCGAATGTTGAGAAACTCCTCATGGGAGTCCTCAAGGAGCTGAATGGAGGCAGGAGGAGGAGCCCCAAGGATTTTGTCCACAGAGCGGGTATGGATGTAAGGGAGGAGGAAGGGGGAGGAACGGGAGGTGGCACGACGCCGCTGCTGCCGCTGGTGCTGCTGAAGCTGCTGCCCTTGTTGCTGCGGCTGCGGCTGACCGTGTTGGTGCTGCGGCTGCTAAGGCTGCTGAGGCTGCTGCTGCTGCTGCTGCCGCTGCTGCTGCTGTCCCGGCTGCCGCTGCTGCTGCTGCTGCTGGCCCGGCTGCTGCTGCTGCTGGCCCGGCTGCTGCTGCTGCTTCTGTCCCGACTGCTGCTGCTGCTGCTGTCCCGGCTGCTGCTGCTGCCCCGGCTGCTGTCCCGGTTGCCGCTGCTGCTGCTGTTGCTGCTGCGGCTGCTGCTGCTGCTGCTGTTGCTGCTGATCCGGCTGCTGGAAGGAGGGGGAGGGAGAGGGGGAGGGAGGGGGTGCGGCCGAGTGAGCGGGGGAAGCGGGTGCGGCAGGGTCGTAGACATCGGCGGAGGAGGAGGGAGGGAGCGGAGCTGCGACGGGTGGGAGGAGAGGGGCTGGAGGGAGAAGGGGTGGGAGGACGGTGTCGGTCCAAGCAAGGGGACGAGTGGGAGGAGGGAGAGGATCAGGGGGAGGAGTGGAGTAATAGGGGACGGATTCGTCGAAGACGACGTCGCTGCTGCGGATGAGGCGATTGGTGGGAGGGTGGAGGAAGAGGTAGCCTGGGGAGTCGCGATTGTGCCCAAGGTAAACGCATTCCAGGGCGCGAGGAGCAAGCTTGCCAGCGGCGCGGGAGCGGTCGGCGGGTGGGATGAGAACGAAGGCCTTGCATCCCCAAACGCGAAGGCCGGCAGCGTCGGGTTTGGCGTTGGACCAAAGCTCTGTAGGGGAGGAGGAAGGATGCTGAGGGTGGGAGCGGAGATTAAGGAGGAGAGCGGCGTGGAGGAGGGCATAGCTCCAGAGGGAAGGAGGGGTGGAGGCATGAGCAATGAGACAACGAGCAATCTTGGTGATCTCATGAATGCGGCTCTCAGCAATGCCGTTCTGCTGAGGGGAGTGGGGAAGGGTGGAGGTCTTTTGGATACCGTAGGTGGCGCAGTATGTGGCAAGGGTGTTAGTGATGAACTCACCCCCACCATCAGAGTGAAGGCGGCCGATGGGGCGTTTGAAGTGATTGCGGCACTGTTTGGCCCAGTTGATGACCACTGCCGGCACCTGGTCTTTCGTGTGAAGGAAGAAGGTGGTGGAGTACCGGCTGTGGTCGTCAACGAGGACGAGCATGTACCGATGCCCCTGGCGGGAGCGGATGGGATAGGGGCCCCAGAGGTCCATGTGCACCAGGTCAATGGGGGCGGCGGCGAAAGTGGGATGACTGCGGTGGGGGGACTGTTTGAGCTTGCCGTGAATGCACGAAGGGCATGGCGGAGAGGGGGAGGAGGGGAGGGGAGGTAAGACGGGAGGAAGGCTGCGGAGGAGGCGAGAGGTGACTGTGGTGCGAAGGGCGGTGAAGTTGGGATGGCCGAGTCTGTGGTGTAAGAGGACAGCAGGGTGGGAGAGGGCAGTGGAGGAGGAGGGAGATGGGGTAAAGGAAGGAACGGGAGGGGAGGAGGAGTATGGTGGGAAGGGAGAAGAGGTTACTTGAGTGGGAGGGGAGGGGGGAAGTGAAGGAAGATGAGGTGGACCGGTGGAAGCACCGGAACGAGTGGTGACATGGCAGAAAGATGTGCGAGGTGTGCGGAGTGTGTAGAGGCGAGTGCGGGGGCAAAGCGGAATGCGGAGAAGGAATCGACCGTAGGAGGTCTGGTAGAGATCACAGTAATTGGCCTAACTGGGGTAAATGGCAGTGATACCAACACCTTGGAGCTCACGGTGGGAGAGGAGGTTGTTGCGGAGAGTGGGGATGTGGAGACCTGTGACCTTACCGGAGGGGAAAGCAGTGCAAGGGAGGGTGGAAAGGTGAGTGCATGGAATGGAAAAGCTGGAATCAGCTCCATGGACCTGAGTGGGAAGTGGTAGTGGGGTGAGAGTGCCAGCATCTTTCAGTTCGGTTTCATTGGCTCCACTGTCAAGGACAAAGTCCAGGGTGGGAGAAGAGGGAGGAGGGGGTGGGACGGGATACTGAAACGAAGTCTCATTGATAGCAGAGGGATACATGGCAGCGACGGACGGTGCAACACTGATATTACCAAGGAAACTACCAGATGTGTCGGGAACACTGGGGGGGGGGGAGGGGAGGGAACCCCAGGGGGGAGGAGGAGGAAGGGAGGTATGAGCGGCCATGGCCGCCGTGCCGAAGGTGAGTGCCTGCTGCTGCCAAGGTGGGGGAAGGAACTGCTGCTGCTGCTGCGGCGGTGGCTGGAAGAACTGCGGCGGCGGCGGCTACTGGGGCTGGAGAAACAGTGGCTGCTGCTGCTGGTGGTGGAAGTACAGGTGCTGCTGCTGCTGGTGCTGCTGAAACTGCTGCAGCTGTGAGGGTGGGGAGGGGGTAACCATGCGGAGGTGAGCAGGGAGGAAAGAGGGGAGGGTCTGAATATCCACTAAGGAGGGGCGAGGTGCGATCGAGTTCCAGCGAGGAGGGGTGCCAGTGTTGCCTCGATCAAACCAGGCGTCGTCGAGTGCCTTAAAGCACGTGGTGGGGGGATGGTTGGTCTGGCCGCAAGGGGTACCAGCATGGGGTCCATGGCGGCGCACATATGTGCATGGGGGGAGAGTGCCAGGGCGTCCGCCTCGAGTCACAGCACCACCAGAACCGGAAAGTCCTCCAGCAGGGGCGCTGCCAGCACCACCTCCACCGGCACCATGGCCACCACGGCCACCACTACCACCACCGCCACCACCACGGCCGCCACCACCACCACCGCTACCCGTTCCACGGCCTCCGCCGCCGCCGCTGCGACCACCCTGGTTGCGCGGCTGCGTAGCGTTGAGGGAGGTGGAGGAGGAGGACTGAGGGGTGGTAAGGTTGACAACAGGGGTACGGAGCTTGACCTCCGTGTCAATGATCCATTGGACCACGTCATCGAGGCTGGCCATGGGGTTGGCCTCAGTGAAGGCATGGAGGCGGGACTCGTAGTCCGGGGTGAGGTTGTAGAGGAGGCGGTGGATTTGCAGAGGCTCGGGGAGGGCAGCTTGGCGTGCCGCAAGGCGATCAGCGACCACCTGCATGCGCCCCACGTAGTCAACTGCGCCATCACAAGTGGCGAGGGTGATGGAGAAGTACTCCTGGAACAGGGCGCCGACAGAGCTGATGTCGCGACGCTCGAACATCGCCTGGAGCTCGGCCCAGGTGAGGGAGGCGCGCATCTCGCGAGCTTGGAAACGGCGCATGAGGGTACCAGGGAGTGCGCCGAGGAGGACGGTGCAGGCGCGGTTATCGGCAGTGGCCCATGCGATGCTCCGAGGGAGGTAGTCCGCCATGGCCGTATTGTACTCATCAAGGAGCGCCAGGCGATTAGCGCGTTCCGCTACCGCGAAGTCGTGGTTATGTACCGCAACCTCATGCTCCGCCTTGCGGATGAGGTATTCGCGGCGATCGTGGAGAAATGCGGCATCGGCGGCATCCTGGAGCGCCAGGGTAGTGGCGATCTCCAAGGTGGGTTCAGTAGGAGGAGGACCAGGAGGAATGGGGGGTGGAGGGGGTTCGCCGGGGTGATTGGGTGCCGTGGGCTGGAGGGCTTGCGGGCGGCGGAGGAGGACGTCGATGACGCAGTAGGGTCCGACGAATGCATCTTGGAGAACACGGCGGATGCTCCCGACGAAGGAATGCCAGTTGATCGCCGAGCGGTCCGCGGCAAGCTGAAGCTTGTCGACGGAGGAGGCGTCAATGGGAGGGGGGAGAGGGGGAGGAGTGGTAGCCATGAGGGGCGATGGTGGGTGGACCCGCGGCGGCCTGGAGGTGGACGGCGGTGGGTGGACCCGCGGTGGTCAAGGGGGGGGTGGCGACGGCGGGTGGACGCGCGGCAGCCGAGAGGGAGGAGGGCGGGGGGAGGGGGTGGTGCTGCGGGGAGTGGAGGTCTTCTTCGGCTGCTGCTGCTGCTGCCGATGCTGCCGTTGCTGCCACTGCTGCCGCTGCTGCTGCTGCTGAGGGAGGAGGGGGAGGAAGATGGTGGATGCAGCTGCTGCCGCCGCTGCTCCTGATGCTGCCGCTGCTGCCGCTGCTGCCGTTGCTGAGGGAGGAGGGGGGGGGGGGGGGAGGGGAGGAGGGGGAGGAAGATGGTGGATGCAGCTGCTACCGCTGCTGCTTCTGATGCTGCCGCTGTTGCTGCTGTGGCTGCTGAGGTGTCCCGGTTGCTGCTGCGTGGGAGGAGAGGAGGAGGAAAGGGGGAGTGGGAGGGAGAACGCAGGTGTAGGTGTGGGTGGGACTGTTGCTGCCAATGACGCTGCTGCTGAGGGATGAGGCGGCTGCTACGAGGAAGGCGCGGCGGCGGGATGCGCGGGTGGCGACGAGGGAGTCGTGGCGGCAGAATGAGCGAGCGGCGACGGGGAGGGCGCGGTGGCGGGATGCGCGGGCGGCGACGAGGAAGGCGCGGCGGCGGGATACGCGGGCGGCGACGAGCAGGTCGCGGGGGTAAGATGCGGGGGGGGGGCGATTTTTAGGTCGCGGCGACGGGATGTGCGGGCGGCGACGAGCAGGTCGCGGCAAAAGGTCGCGAGGGCGGCGACTTTAGGTCGCGGCGGCAAGGGGTGCAGGCGGCGACGAGAAGGTTGCGGCGGCGAGATACTCAGGCGGCGACGCGAAGTCGCGGCGGCGGGTCGTGCAGGCGGCGACGCGAAGTCGCGGCGGCGGGTCGTGCAAGCGGCGACGAGAAGGTCGCGGCAGCGGGATGCGTAGGCGGCGACGCGAAGTCGCGGCGATGGGGAGCACAGGCGGCGACGCGAAGTCGCGGCGGCGGGACGGGAGGCGACGACGGGGCGTCGCGACGACGGGATGCGCAGGCGGCGCCGAGGAAGGCGCGGCGGCGGTAGGGGGAGGCGGCGACGCGACGTCGCGGCAGCGGGAGGGGCAGGCGACGACGGGGTGTTGCGGCGGAGGGATGCGCGGGCGACGCCGAAGTAGGTGCAGCGGCGGGAGGGAGACGGCGACGGGGGGTCGCGGCAGGGGGAGGAGGAGGCGGCGACGAGGCGTCGCGGCGGGATGCGCAGGCGGCGCCAGAGAAGGCGCGGCGGCGGAAAAAAAAAAAGGGGTGGGGGGGGGCAGCGACGGTGTGTCGCGGCGACGGGGGGGCTGTGATGCACTCGCGGCGGTGGGATCCGCAGGCGAGGAAGGCGCAATCACGGCGGAGGGAGGGAAGAGTGGCGACGGCGTAGGTCGTGCCAAGGAGGTGCTAGGTTGAGCCACACGTAGGGGGTTTGTGGCTGTGGGGTGGGCCCATGGGGAAGCAAAAAACTTGGAGGGAGGGAGAGAGAAGGCTTAGGAACAACTAGCTCTATACCATGTGAAGATTGAGAATTCAACAAGTGATTAGATTAGAGGAACAACCTAGCATACATGGTTGAAAGGAAAGGTTGGAAGGGAAGGATGGAAGGGAAGGATCAAAGTGACCATAGGTTGGGTTGACCTCACTTGGGGGGATGAGGGAACCATAGGTCAAGTGGGTTGGGTTGCCCATACTTTGTAGAAGTGAGGCAACCCTAGGCCCACCTGGCTTGGGGGAACCTCAATTGTGGGAAGTGAGGTACCCACAAGTCAAGAGGGTTGCATTTGGGGGCTCCACCACAATTGGGTGGATTGGCACCCCAAGGTGCAAGACTACACCCAAAGTTGGGTGTAGTCCCAACCCAACTGTACACCACAATTGGTGTACAGTCACATGTGTTGGCATGCTACACAATATATATTTTAACACAGGGTGCCGGACGGGACAGCAGGACAAGGGAGGGCAGTGGTGGAGGTCGCAAGGACCGAACCCCCGGAGGGGTCAGCCAGGGAGACAGCAACCGGCCTAGGGAGCTGCTCTAGGGCAGTGCGGTCGCGAAAGAAACAGCGAGAAGCACCAGAGTCTAGTGTGAAGGTGTGCAGTGCCTCACTAGACGCAGTACCTGAAAGCGCAGACTCACAAGTACGTGAAGCAGCAAACACACCTGCACCTAGAGCAGCAGCCTCACTAGGACCTGGGGCAGCAGACACACTGGCACCTAGAGCGGCAGCCTCACTGGTCGCAATGCCTGGGTCTGGTGGCACACACAAGTAACAGTCACCCTCAACACTAATAGTCAATGCATACATGGCTCCAAGGATAACATCAAAGTCAAGTGCAAAGACATCAATGTTCTTTTTAAGCAGATCAGCCCAGCGGGGCAGCTCAGAGGCCTCAGGGAACTGTGCACGCCAGGCGTCGTCGAGACGGAAGAAGCCGCGCTGTGGCGTGTGGAACCTCCCACACGTCTGACCAGTGCGGTCACCTGTGCGGATGACATACGTGCAGGTACCCCCGCCCCCAGACCCCCCATGCTGAGAGTACCACTCACGAAGCTGCTGGGACGACGGGGTCTCTCCAAGACGCTGCTGCTGGCGCTGGACACCACCCGAGCCTCCACGCTGCGCCGGTCCACCCCGACCACCACCCGAGCGCCACCCCCACGCCCACTGCCTCCACCACCACCACCTCCACCCCGACCTCCTCCACCACCACTGCCGCCACCACCCCCGCCGCTGCCACCCAACCCCCTAGCCCCGCTACCACCCCCACCACCGCCACCACCCCCACCGCCCCCACCGCCGCCACCTCCACCTCCACCTCCACCCCCCCCCGCTAGCACCACCACCACCCTTGCCCCCCTTGCCCTTGCCGCCCTTGCGCCTCCAGCTAGGAGCAGACGCATCCCCGACTTCCTCAGCACCAAGGAAGTCGACAGCGGCAGCAGAGGCAACTGAGGGGAGAAGGGGGGGAGGGGAACACCCGTCAAAGAAGGGCGTGCGGGAGTCTCCACGAGAGGCACCTACAGCAACTATGCTAGACTCAGCTGCAAGCAGATGCTTCTCGAGGAGGTTAATGGTGAGCTCGGTGGGGCAGAGGGCGAGAAAGTGGTCCCTGACTGCGCGAAGAGAGTCAGGGAGACGAGTGACTAGGTGGTAGAGAACGAGGTACATCGGGGGGGGGGGGGGGGGGTTCTTGGCGAGGAACTCAGCAGGAAGGGCGGCTCGGTAGCGAGTGTCACTAGTGCGGAGGTGGGTAATGAGGTCAGCGACTGTGGGAAAGGCGGCAAGGTCGGGGAAAAGATAGGGCAGCGAGAGATGGCCTATCGTAGCAGAGGCAGGCAAGGAGTAGCGAGCGACGACCGCATCGTACAGTGCCTTAGTAGTCTTATGCTGGCCGAAGTGTGCGCGCTCATCTAACGGCAGGTGGCTGCGAATGGCTAAGCGAGCGTGGGCGTCACAAGTCTGCCACTGGGAGCGAGCTGTACTGTCAGCAGTGTTAGCAGGTGCTAGAGCGGTTCCAGACGCATGGTCATACAGCGAGACATCATCCTTAGCAGTGATCTGGAGGAAGAGGTGGAGATCGTCGAGCCAGGCATCAAACTGGAGCGGACGCCCCCCAGCATCGAAAGAGAGAACTGTGGGTGTAGCCATAGTGGCAGCAGTAGCAGTAGCAGTAAGAGCAGTCGCAGGAGCAGCTGTAGTAGTAAGGATAGCTGTAACAGCAGGAACAGGAACTGCAGTTGCTGCAAGTGGGGCGGCGCGGCTTGGTCAGGGCGGCGCGACTCGGGCGGTGCGGCTCGGGCAGGACTGCGCGGCGCGGCTCGGCAGAGAGGGTGGGCCGGCGCGCGGGTTGAGGTGGCGGCCTACAGGCTGGCTGTGGCCTACGCGTGGGCGGCGACCTACGCACGAGCGGCGGCCTGCATGGGCGAGGTGGCGGCGCGCGCCGGTCGACGGGCAGCTGGCGAGCTGCTCCAGGGGCCGCGTGAGGCCAGGGCGGGCTACGTCGACGGCGTGGGCGGCTAGGGGGGGTCGCGCGCACTAGAAGGAGGCCACGCGAGGGCGGCTAACGGGCTGCGTGGCGAAAAACAAGGTCGCGCGCGGGCAAAAAAAAAAAGGGCCGCGCTCGGGCTTCTAGTGGGCTACGTGACGAGACAGCGAGGCGCACGAGGGCGCACGGACAGCGTGGCGCGCGAGGGCGCTAAAGTGAGAAGGCGCTCGAGGGCGCTAGCGGAAGGACGGGCCCTTAGTAACACGTGGTCCTAGGTTCCTAACCTAGGCTCCTGATGCCATGTTAGAATGAGAAGGAGTGATTGCACTAGGAAGATTGAGAGTACAAGTAGAAAAACCTAGAATTGTGTACCCCCTAAGGCTAAACCCACTATAGCCTACAGAACTATAACATATGTAATGTTTGACAAGTGGTAGGTGCTCAGCGGCGGCAATGGCGAGTAGAATCCGGACGGAGGTGTGATGACTGATGGGAACGAAGGTTTGGTCGAAGTCGATGCCGTGGCGCTGATCGTACTCTCGTACGACCCAGCGTGCCTTGAATTGCTTGATGGTGCCGTCAGTATTAGTCTTTAGGCGAAAAACCCATTTTCCGCTGAGTACCCTCCTCCCCTTCACTGCTGCACGATTGACTAGGACCCATGTGTCGCGAGATTCCAGCGCTTTCAGCTCCGCATCCATCGCAGCACGCCACTCCTTGGCGTGAGGGCCGGTCAGGGCCTGGCGAGGATTCTTTGGCTGGACGGCTCGTGCGATGGTGGTGACGGACGTGTGTAGGCCAAGTAGTTGCAGGCCTGATACATTGGTGGTGTCTGTGTTGGTGGCGACTTCCACCACGTCGTCATCTCCGCTTTCGTAGCCGGTCGCTGTGGCGCTTGGCTCTCCTTGGCGCCGTGACGGCCCTGGCGCGGGGTCGTCGTCACTGTCAGTGTCGTTGTCGTCGCGCGGGCGAGGCGGGATGCTAGGGTGTTCGTCGGTGTCGTCACGGTCCAGTGCTGCTGCTGTTGGCGTAACCGCGTGCCTCGTTGCGTCGCTCGTCCTCGATCCACTGCTTCAAGGTGAGTCGATTGTAGAAGAGAACGTCACGCGCGTGAACAACTTCGTTGCTGTCAACATCAAGGATAAGCCACCCTTTGTGCTCGTGACTGAGCCCCAGGTGAATTCCCCAGCGCGCGCGATGAACGAACTTGCCGATTGTGGCCGAGGTCGGCCGGTACTGCACCATGCACCCCCAAACCGTCAGCATGGAGGGATCTCCCCTTGAGCCGGTCCACTTCATGTGAGGGGACAGGCTGTCTCTGTTGACGGTGGTGGAGAGGAGGTTGTGCAGGCGCACCGCGTGGTTCATGGCGCATGGCCAAAACTTCTTTGGCAGGCCGAACTGGTTCATGAGGGCGCGAACTTCTGTCATGAGGGTGCGGTTGACTCTCTCCGTAACGCCTTGCTGTTGGTGAGCTTAGGGGAAAGAGATCTCGTGCTTGATCCCCTTCTCAGTAAGAACGCTCTCCAGTTCGTTACTTCAAAATTCATTGGCCCCATCACTTTGCCAGACCTTCAGCTTCCTTCCCGACTGTTGCTTTGCGTGCGCGAGGAAGAGACGGAATACTTCCGGAGCCTTGGAGCGAGCGTCGACATTGGCGACCCACACATGGCGTGAGTAGGCGTCGATGAAGGTGAGAGTATACTTCTCGCCGTTGATGCCGTCGAAGGTGAGCACAATGAAGTTGCTGTACACTTTCTCCAGCTTCTTGTAACGGTTGGTGCTTGGCTCCAGAGAGGGGTAGGCGCTGTGAGAGAGCGCAGCTGTGGGGCAGATAGTGCAAGTAATTGGGTGTGGTGTGTTGTGTGGTTCTGTTCCGTCGGGGCGCAGCAGTGCTCCTAGCGGGAAGACTTTAGCGCGGAGATAGTTGGCGAGGGTTTGGCACGAGGGGTGGCCCAGCCGCTGGTGCCAGAGGTCATCTTCGCCGCGAATGCTGGAGGTGCGCTTGTAGCGAGCGTAATGTTCCGCTACTTCTACTTCCGTAAGTTGCGGGATCTGGAGTGGGGGTTCTTCCTCTTCTCCTGGTTCCGCTTCGTTGTCCGGCTCCTCTGCTTCTGCTTCTGCCGTTGTCTCCCCTTCTGCAGGTGCCGTTGTGAGATAGAGGGCGAGAAATTCACGGTCGGGGATGATGGTGTGCGGGATCGTGGTGCCTTCAATGAAACGAGCGAACTGATCTGGGCGGGAGATTGGACAAAGTGAGTCCCGCGGAGGAGTTGGTGGTATGGTCCCCTCCTCAATTTCCGACCAGGGATCATTCCAGCGATGAGGTGAGCGAGGGGTTTCATGAGTGCGTGGGGGTCGTCCGAGGGGAATAATGACGCGGGGTGATGCTTCTCCGCGCTCAGCTTTCATCTCTCGTTCGGCTTCCTCCAGTTCTTCTTGCGTGAGCTCCCCTTTGTCGGGTTCGGCTGTTCCCCATCCTCCCGTGGTGACCGTGCCGGTGGCGCTGGCTCCCCATGCTCCAGTGGCAGAGGCCCAGGTTGCGCCTCCTTCCGGTTCATAATCTTCTTCTCCCCATGCACCTCGTCGGGTTGACTCCCCATCCCATCCAGCAGCGACGCGTTCCTCATACAGTTTCTGTTTCTTTTCTGCCCTTGCTTTGTCTTGTTCTTCCTTGACGCTCAACTCCCCTTCTGCGTCAG